GGCCCAAAACACCGCAAATTTTACACTGTAGCGTGTAGGGATTACCTTCCCAACTGTAACCAAAAGTCCTTCTACAAAAACAGAGGGGGGAGTCACGGCTGTTTAAAAATTAAACGAGCCACATTTTCAAGGGGTTTATCTTTGCCCCCGGGGAAGAAGGGAAAAAAGTGTTTTACCTTGAAAATTGGGAGATCTTGGAGTTCCCGCTGTTTGGAATGTCGTGCCCCATGTCTGGAAATTTTTGTTTTGACATTTGGGTTTGGGGGAGAACAACAGTACCACACAAGAATTGAGGGGAAAGATGTTTTTCGATAGTTTAAAAGGGATAGTAAACGACATGTGAAAGAAGAGAAAAAATCTGGTTTTGGGGGAGAAAATTTTGGACTGTGATGAATTTTCGCGAAAAACTTTTAAGTTTATGAAAAAGGGAAAAAACTCTAACCAATGTGGGATAGGAGCACTTTCCCAATACTATGGCAAAAAAGATAGGGGGTAGAAGAAGTCCCGGGTTTTAAAAGTTAAAAGAAATTTTGGGCCATTTGTGGTCCAAAACCCAATTAAAGGAGGGGGTGCATGACGTGTCGGTTTCCCCCCCCCCCCCTTTTTCCCAAATAGAATGGGAAGGGAACAAATAACGTCCTCAGGAGATTGTCGACTTTATAAGTGGGGCTGGAAATCGGTCCCCACATGGGGCGGGGTGGCGAAATTTAAAAAAAGCCCCACCATAGAGGGGGAAGCCAGAGGCATAGTTAAAAGGGGAAACAGAGGGCAGACAAATCGAAGGGGTCAGTGGGAAACCCCCGGGAACCCGAAGCGGGTGAGGGAAACCCGCACCGGCTGCCCAAAAAACGATGAGGCAGAAAAGGGGGGGGGTTCGGGAACAATATGGGGCCCCGGGGAAACGGGGGCATGGATCGGGTATCCAAAGGTTAGGTTACTTTTTTTTTCTTTTAAAAACAAAAAGAAAGAAGGAAAAAAAAAGAAAAAAAAATAAAAAAAAAAAATTAAAAAAAAGGGGGGGCTGGGGAGGGATAGTTCCTAGGAAAGGGAAAGAAAGGGGCCCGAAATTTCCCTCCACGCCCAAGAGGACCTCAGTCCGCAAGTAGCGGGAGAATTTTCAGCATGGAAAAACCCTTTCCAAACCCACCCAAACATGCCAGTAAAACCCGGGAATCCGGATAGCAACCTCACAAATTTCCGAGCTTTCCCTCGGTGGACAAAAGAGAGGGCGGCCGGATATCCGCCACGAAGGGTACCTCCCTTTTTCACCCCCCCGGAATCCCAAAGGTGGCCCTTCCCCGAGATACACCCTCGCCCGGGGAAAAACACCCAAAAACCCCCCCTCCAGGGTACGGGGAGGGATCGGGGCCCTCCCCCCCAAAACCCCCGGGTTTCCCCGGCAAAATACACCCCCGCCAAGAACCTCAAAAAAAAAATGGGATGGACCCCGGTTCCCCTTTCCCCAAACCCAGGGAAATAGCGCACCTGTGGGAAAAAAACCCAAAAGGGCCAAAAAAAGGGAAGGGGAAAAAGGGGGGGGGGGGAGGAGGAGGAGGAGGAAAGGGGGAAAAAAGGGGGGGATGGGATAGGGAAGGGGGAAATTTTGGGGGTAATTAGGTTTGGTCCCGGGAAGGAGACCCACAGGTCTAAAATTCCCCAGAAACCCAAAAGGGCCCCTTTTACCAGCCAAGGAGCCCCTTTTAAAAGGGAAAATTTTTGGTTTCAATGGCACCATTTGGGACAATTTTGATTCAATGGTACCCATATGGGCAATGGTTTCTATATGGTACTTTTTACCATACACACAATGAACCATATTTGGGTTAAATTTTAAACCCTTAGTAAATTTATGGTACTTTCTGTATTCAAAAACAATAAAAATTTTAAAATTTTTTTCATTTTTTTTTTACAATTTCATGTAAATTTTTTAAATAGTAGTAGGTTGGGGAAACAGGGAACCGCCCAGGGAGGTACTAACCCTCCTGCGGTGTAAAAACCCAAAACCCGTAATTGGGGTTTTTTTTGATGGGAGGATTTCTGGTGTCTTTTGTCTTTCTCATAAACATGCAAAATTTCAGGTATGTCTTGCTACTTCTACTCGCACTTAGGTCACACTACACATACATGTACAAGCATATATATACACACACCCCTCTGGGTTTTCTTCTATTTTCTTTCTAGTTCTTGTTCTTGTTTATTTCTTCTTACCTCCATGGGGAAGTGGAACAGAATTCTTCCTCCATAAGCCATACGTGTTGTAAGAGGTGACTAAAATGCCGGGAGCAAGGGGCTAGTAGCCCCTTCTCCTGTATATATTACTATATGTAAAAGGAGAAACTTCTGTTTTTCCTTTTGGGCCACCCCGCCTTGGTGGGATACGGCAGGTGTGTTGAAAGAAGAAGAATTGTTTACAACAAAAATATGCAAAAATGTTGTATATTAGTAATGTTTTATTATATATTTACAAATGTACAGCCACTTGACATGTTCCTTGAGGTGGATGACAAAGCACTTTGTCTTGGAAACTGCTGAGTCAGTAGCTAGCTTGCGTCACCACTCAGTCTTGGCTGGTGTCTCGTGCCACCAACACCACCTATTGACCATATGGTACATAGTATCATATGTTACAGGGTACCATATGGTATAGGGTACCATGTAGTACAGGGTAACATATGGTGCAGGGTACCATATTGTGCAGGGCACCATAAGGTACAGGGTACCATATGGCACAGGGTACCATATGGCACAGGGTACCATATGGCACAGGGTACAATATGGTACAGGGTACCATACAGTACAGGACACCATATGGTACAGATACAGGGATCCCTATGGAAGTAAGTCACCCTGACTTTTTTGGGTTATCCTAGGATTTTATACATTTGCTGCTATGTATGATAATCCATGTAATTGTATTTCTGTACACCTTAATAAACTTACTCAAGTGCATGAGGCTTCGTAAGTAAGTTTATTTAGGTATACACAAATAAAGTTACACAGAATATCATACTTAGCAGCATATGTTTGGAGAACCTAGGATAACCCAAACAAAGTCAGACTTGTTTCCATTAGGGTCCCTGTACCCTGTACTATATGGTACAATGTACCATATGGTATAATGTACCATATGGTACAATGTACCATATGGCACATTGTACCATATGATACCATTGTATGACTTGGCACCAATGTACCATATGGTACCATTGTACCATATGGTACAATGGTACCATATGGTTCAAAACCATAGAATTCCTCTTCAGCTCCACATCCATCAGTCTTAGAACTGTAAGTTGTGAAGAGGAGAGTCAGAATTCGCCCTGAGAGTGAGTGGGGAGTTAGAGCTTCCTTGCCACCAGGCACGATGAACAAAGCTACTCTGGCGGCATTCCCACAATGCCATGCGGGCATCCAGATTTTTTCTATAGTGTGCACACTGACCACCCAGACCAGTTCTCTCAAATGTAGGCCTACCAGCCTTCTCGTGCTAAATTTGACGCTGCTAGAATTTTGGCGTAGATCTACGGTTTGGACCCTCAATGTAAAGCCGTAGATCTACGGCACAGACCCTGAAAGGGTTAAGGCCCACTCACATCTGGAAATTTCCCACGTGTCTGGAAGCAAAAAATCGACTGTTCGTACCTGGAAAAACTCGCATGTGGATGCACTCGTTAGTAGAGGTTCCACTGTATTACCCTGCTCACACTCCAACAGCTCGTAAGGTCCCAAAAAACCATTTGTCCCCATTCACTCCTATATAACATGCTCACACATACCTGCTGCTTGTCCAGGCCCCTTACACACAAAACCTCTTTTACCCCTTCCCTCCAACCTTTCCTAGGATGACCCCTACCCCTCCTCCCTCCACTACAGATTTATACACCCTCCAAGTCATTCTAATTTGCTTCATCCTCTACAAATGACCAAACCACCTCAATAACCCCTCTTCAGCACTCTGAATAATACTTTTTTGTAACCACACACCTCCTAATTTCCACACTACGAATTCTCTGCATAATATTTACACCACATACTGCCCTTATTACAACATCTCTACTGCCTCCAGCCTCCTCCTTGCTTCAATATTCACAACATATTACAATTATTTCTGAGTGTATTACTCATCAAAACACTATGAACAGCTTACTTCTACCAACAATAATAAAACCTACAAGAATCACTGACACAAATGCCTCATTACTAGACCATATCTGGACAAACACTATATCCCCGTTAAAAGCAGGCATAATCACAGATAACACTACTGACCACTACTGTAGCTTTCTCATAACCAATTTGTGTAAAGTGTCCCAGGACACAACTAAGATCACATTCCGGCTACATGACAAGTCATCTGTTAATAACCTTATTTCAGCAAATAGTGACAATGACTGGCAAAACGAGCTAGCAGACAACTTAGATATTGATGAACGTGTTAATATTATTTTACAAAAAAAAAAAAAACTTCTACAACATGCATTGCCCAATAAAAACTAAGCAGATCATAGCAGAGACTAAACAGCCTTTGGTTTAAATAGTAGTAGATTGTAATACAGTACATCATAATGTAAACTGTTCTATTTTAATACCAAATCTCATTGTTTTAAATAGTACTAAAATGTATTACATCATATTGTAAATTATTTTAAATTGTTACATTGTAATACTGTAATCTTTATTAACTAATTCAATAGTGTAATTAGTCTAATAGATTTACCAAGACCATGTAGCATTACCTGATAGAATAAACAATTCTACTGTACTCACTGTAACTCATCTAATGACCATATGAACCATGTATCATTGCCTTACTAATTTTAAGTTAATCTTTAAGTTTGCCCAGAATGATCTGCATACAAAGGGGTTTTTGGTATGTACATCCAACTATTATACTCCTCTGTACAACCATGTAATTTGTCAAAATAAACATCTTTATCACTATCTTTTCTTTAAAACATGGAAATTATTAACACTGCTTGATTTTACTGGGTTATCCTCGGTTACATATCTAGTGTGCTTTGTTGCTGAATTCCACTGTTAATATCATGAAATTGTAATAAATTTGGACTGAATAAGTCATCTTTGAGCCACTTGCACACCCTGTTTCCTGGTAGGGAAGCTGGTAGTGGAACAACAGCTCCTGGTTACTCTGTTTATTTTTGCTAGTGAGGCATACTAGTACACTGGACATACAGTCATCCCCTGAGTAGTTAACCATGATACATCATGTGGACAGTGCTGGCCTTAGATTTTTTCAAATGTATGAATAGATGGAACAGGACCCAAAGAGTTATCATGAGGTAAAAAATATTGGCAAAGGGCAGATTTATGGGTAAAAAAAATGGTGCATACCAGTATGTTGGACACAGTACCAGAACTTGTGTACTAGTATGTCAGACACAGTTAAAGGATTAAATATTTCAAATGAAAACTTGTGTTCAATATTAAAAAATTTACTTTTATTTTATACTAATCCTTTTTAATTTTTGGTGCATATTAATTAGTATTTCTGGTGAACTTGTATTAAACAAATGACATGCAATTATTTTTTTTCCAATACTTTAATGTAAATGTTTGGAACACATTATGCTATAACAAATTAGTATAACAATGCTTCAAACAGAGGGGTTTTGCATAACACATTACTTTTTGGCACCTATTACCCACACTTTGCAAGGTATTTCTGTAAAAGCCAAGAGAAGTGAAAATATTTAGAAAATGTAAGATTTTTTATAAAAACTTAGACAAGTTTTTCCAAAGGTACATGGCTGGCCAGGTTGTATGGAATATAATTGCTGCCAAGGTGAAAGCAAAAACATCCTGGCTAATCAGCTTGACAGTGATTGTAAAATTAATGCATAAATCTGCTCAAACATTATTCAGTGACTGATGACTTCCAGTATAGGTATCAAAACACATCTAGGAGAAAAAAGTTTTAAGATTTAGCACACAGCTTAGCTGAATAATTCTCACCTGCCAATAGAGACCATGCTAGTATGATCCAGAAGTGTGATAGCATCTTCACTGACAGCCACCCACACTGGTGTTGGTGGACCATCTGATGATGGTGTAGCAGCAGGAAATAGTGTAGCTCCAAAGTATGGCCATTTCCTCGTACACGTCAGGTATATTCGAACACAGTCACTTTGTGTTCTTCCTCTCAACCCAACCCACTTTTCTTGTAAGCTGTCATGCAATGTCCTGTAAGCCAATCACCAAGAAAATATATTAAACTACTGTTCATTGTATTTAGAAATGTATGCTAGACCTGTAGGTTCATCCAGAAGGCAATCAAATTTGATCCAAGGAAGTGTTGGAAAATTCCATTTCCTTGGATCGAGATCCCTTCAGCATCTAATTTATGATAATATTTTACAGTGGACCCCCGGTTTACGGCCAGTGCAGAAATCGTACAATTCAGATTTCAAGCACTTTTCTGAGCAAAATTTCCCCCAGGGTCTCGTACATCCCCTCAGAAATCGTTGGTACCAGACACATCTGCCTAGGCCGCTCATACGTTCATGACTCACTCTTGGGCACATTAAATGTCTTATTTTACGTTAATATTGACATTTTCATTAATCCATCTATGATATTTTCTTCAAAATTATGCAAGAAACACGTTACACAGCATATAAACATGCAATGTTTATATGCAGTGGAGGGTAAACATTACGTTTTTTTTGGTCCAGCATTAGAAAAAACAATGAATCTGTTTTGGCCCAGTAACTGCCCGTTATACATAAGCTTTTGTTTACAATTCTCGGCATGAATTATTCATTACTTCTCCCTTTATTTATGATGGCATCTAAAGGAAGTTATCAGAAACGATTAAACTCAGTAAACATGATGTGTCGATGGTAATAATATGGCTGTAGGCCGCAGTGTATGTAGCCAGTAGGTATACACCTGGGACTACAAAGAAATTCTACTCACCAACAAGAGTCTTCAATAAAGGTATATAATGTTCATTTATCATTAAAATTAATCATTTATATTCATTTCTCATTGTTTTCTGTATGTAAAACTAGTTATTCTCTATAAAATGTATTTTTTGTTAATATTTTTGGGTGTCTGAAAGGGATTAATTGGATTTACATTATTTCTTATAGGAAATATTACTCCAGTTTTCGGCCATTTCGGATTTTGGCCAACCTTCTGGAACAGATTAATTATGAAAACAAAGGGGTCTACTGTATATACTGCACTGTCATTATACTACCATCTGAATATTGCCTACACAAAAAATTATAACTACCCACTAAGGCATCTGTGATGTACTGGCACGTCCAAGTGATCAAAGTTGGTAACATACTGGTACACAAAATTCAAAGCTTTTTCAAATTTGCTGCGAGTAGCAAATTTATGCCTAAACATGAAAGAAAAGGTCAGCACACTGGGTGTGTACTGTATACAGCAATTTCTGCCCCATGAAGAGCATAATGGGAACAGCTAACCTCCCAGCCTTTGTTAGCCAAGGCTTCCAGGTGTGAATCCCTCACCTATCACAATTAACCACTTACTGCTAACACCTATAAGAACTAACAGTAACAACAGCAATCCTGATGTGTAGTTCCATGGGTTTGAAACAAATGTGAATGAAGGGGTGGTCATAATAGTTATTCAAAAGCAGCAAATACACAACTCACTTGCAACACCGCTGCCAAAGTGCTGAAAAATTCAGTCCGCGCACCCTGGTAATCACAATCATACCTATCTCTGTTTCCTCATTAAAAAAGAGGAAAAAGCCTCAAAGGAGATTTTTGTGTGGTGCTCACCCGAAAGACTTCTCAATGGCAAGCCACAAGACATATATTTCAAGTCTTGTGAAAAACCACTTTTTATTATGAGGACCCCAAACACTGCAAGAATTCGAACGTACTTACGCTTGTACCGTATATATCGTTAGAAACACCCAAAAAAACAAAATGTCAGTAAGCAGCATTACCAAAAGTAAAGCCATTTTTTTTTCACTTAAAATGCATAAAATGCCAGTAAGAAAGTTTTGTTCATTTTTAACCCTGGGGGGTTACCCCCCAGAAAACCCCAAAAAAGTCAGTGAATATCGAGGCTGAATTTATTTCCTTTGGGGGTCCTTAATCTTGCCCCCCAGGGACACCCCCCATCAACTAACACCCAGGTACCTATTTGTGCTAGGTAAACAGGACAAGGTTAAGGAAACGTGTTGAAAGTTTCGCCTGCGGGGGAATAAAACCCGGGCCCTCTGTGGTGAACGGGAGCTTTAGCCACCGGGCCCACCGGGCCTTAAAACAAAAAAAAGTAAAATACATACTTTCACTCTTTCTACCTTAAAATATTTGTAGTCTTAATGAAAGGGTGAGAGGTGAGTAGTTTTTAAATTGAAAGCAGTCAGGTGTGGGAGGATGGTACCCCAGCCGGGACACCCCAGCACACGTAATATATACGACTTTTAAACCCCTTCAGGGTCCAAGGCCCAAATCTGAAGTGGTGCCCCAGTGTCCAAAAATTTTAAAAAAAAAAAAAAAAATTTTATTTTTTTTAGAAATGGTAGAGAACTTTTCTGAAGGTAATAAAACAAAAAGTCAAAATTTGAGGGAAAAAATTGACGAAATTATGCTCTTGCAAATTTTTTGATGTGTCAGCGATTTTTACAATCGGCTTTTGCCGACTTTGCTCCCATTTTAGGCCAATTACTTTATTCCATCAACCAAATTCTTAGCTATTTAAAGTATTACTTCTATTCTATCGATTGAGCACAAGAAATCGCCCAAATCAACGTTTCAACTACAAATTAAAGGATCGGAAATTGTTAAATTTGGGCCCAAATTTTAAAACAAAGTTCAAAATATTCCAATTTCAAAAAAGGGGCCAGAATAAACAATTATATTCCTGGAACTAAACTAACATTTCCTCTGTTCTTTTGTTATGTTTTGAGCTTTACAAAAAAATTTCCATTTTGTTTTTTTTTCACATAATGAAAATTTTATTCACACCAAAAAAATAAGATTTACTGTTATGCAATCTGTAATAATTGTATAAAAATCATCACCATATTTTTGAATGAAAATTTTGACCCCCCAGCTGGCGTGTATTAGACGTGGAGGTTTGTTTGTTTACTCTTGAATATGGGCCCAAAATTAACATTTCTGCTACTTTGAGCTCAGTTTCAAGCCATTTCCAGTGCTAAAAAAAATCAAAACTCTCTATTTCTGTAAATCTTCCCTTCATCAAAAGAACCAAAAATCCCAAATGAACTATAAAAAAAAAAAACAAAAAACACTGCAAAATCGCTTTTTTTAAAAAAAATCATGATTTCATTTTTTTCTCTCATTATACACAGATCTGCGATCGTTTTATGTGGTGCACCATACCCATAGGATTCTTCATATCTAGGCCCAAAGTACCCCTCAAAGTTTATCAGAGTGAGCTGAGCTCTGACGAGATCAGGTTTGGACCCTGAAAGAAAGCCGTAGTCTACGGGACGGACCCTCAAAAGGGGAAAAGGGCACAGAGGATAAAAGATATAAGTACACTCATTACTTATTTTAAATATTTGTATTTAATTTAGGGTGAAGGGGGGGTAAAAGGGTAAAACAATAAAAAAAGAAAGAACAATTTAAAAGAGGAGGAGAGAGATGCAGAAATGTAAACAAGCAGGGGGACGCATTGGTTTTTTTTTTTTACATTTCATCTACTCGAACATCACATACTTTTGTTAATGTTTCTACTGGGGGTGTATTTATCATGTTTAATTTATGTAGCAGTTTATTATATAATTTTGAAAAAATATATAGGGATTAATGAAAATGTTTATATTAATGCCACAAAGCGGGCCCTACGTATTAAAGTAAAATGGACCTCCGGGGCATATAATTTTAACCGTTCCAGAGAGACCGACTAAACCCGAATCTGACGATTTATGAATTCATTTTTCCCATAGGAAATAATGTAAATCCAATTAATCCATTCCAGACACCCAAAAGTATTAACAAAAATTATTTTTTTATATGTTAAATATAGATTTACATACAGAAAAGAATGAGAAATCAAGTATAAAACAATAATATCACACTTACCTTTATTACAGACTCTTGTTGGTGTATAGAAGATGGGAGGAGGGGAGGTGGTTAGAGTGATGTTCCTCCACAAATGTTTGCACCTTACTCCACTTTGCACAAATGTCCTTAATCTTTGAAGAAGGCACCTTCTTCCCTCTCTCTTTCTCCTCCTCTGAAGCAATTTCCTCAGTTAGTGTAAATAAATAAGCAGCAACACTGCAACAGGCCTATTGGCCCATACTAGGCAGGTCCTTCACAAACCATCCCACTAACAGAATCGTATTTGCCCAACCCAATTTTCAATGCGTCCCAAGCAATAACCTTTGAAAATTCTATTCACTCATGAGCAAGTCCCACTCAAATCAAATCGTGTGTGTGGGGAAGTACCCTGTCTGGTGTGTGGGAAAGAACTCTGGCTGGTGTGTGGGGAAGTGCCCTCGCTGGTGTGTGTGTGTGGGGAAGTACCCTGGCTGGTGTACATAAGAAAGCAGGAACACTGCAGAAGACCTGTTGGCCCATACTGGGCAAGTCTTTCACAATCCATCCTACTAACAGAATTGTACTTGCCAAACCCAATTTTTGATGCTTCCCAAGCAATAAGCTTTGAAAATTCTATTCACTTATGTGCAAGTCCTACTCAAATCAAATTGTGCGTGTGGGGAACTATCCTGTCTGGTGTGTGGGGAAGTGCCCTGGCTGGTGTGTGTGTGGGGAAGTCCCCTGGCTGGTGTGTTCTTTCTTGAATTCTATCATGTTTATCACCTTCTTTACCAAAGGGCTGGCACTAGGAGCTTTCTTTTGACCCAAAGTGGTTTATTTAGTAGCTGCAAGCACTAAAACGTATCATATGAACGCATGGGATCATGCTCATTGGCTGATAAACAATGACACATTGACTGTAATTGGTGTCGGGCCAAATGACTACAGAGGACTCTCAACTAATGGCGGCATAGTCTAAACCCCAAATTCGACTAACGGCTCTCTTTGGCGTCAAAATACTGGCTCTACCAATGCCGAAAAACTCGTCTAAAGGCTTTCATCCTGAGCAGGCCCAGCCACTCCAAGACTCCATGTATAACTGACTTAAGAAATCGTAATGACATGATTGCAATCGTGTCATTACGATTTCTTAAGTCATGTTGACGGCAGTGAAGGGACTTG